AAAAAAAAAAAAAAAGAAAACTTGGTTTTTCAACACAAAATAAATCAGCTGAATCAAACGGTATGCGTACTCGTTAAAGCTTCTGATCCATATTCCAAATCACTCTTCAATAACATGGAATAGCTACTTCTCATCAGGACCACGCAAGTATGGCATTTTTCCTAAGGTAGGGTCACCAAAGGAAAAGCTCAGTTCCACACCTGTAGGATGTAGACAAGGTTCTGAACCGCAAAGATCTTGCCAAGAGTTAGCAAGTCATTAAATAAAGGATAAGATTTTTAAAAAAAGAAAAAGAAATTCCAGCTGCTTTCCTTTCCAATTAAAATGTTTTTACAGAAAATTTTCCACATTTTCACCAGAAAATATCAAGTCCCTGAGTTTTCCTCCCCTTAGGAAGGTTGTATGATTTGGATTCCTTGACTACAGAATTATTTCAGTGAGATAAAATTTGGGAACCAGAATCTGCTTAAGCTCACTTGCAATGCATCCTTGGAGCCATCAAACTGTCAACAGTTCTCAGCATGATGAACTGGAAAGCCAAGAGACAAAATTCATTTTTAACACAATAATTAAAACTCTTTCTTTCCTAACTAGTGAAAAGCATTTATTCTTAGCTTTACAAAAAACCTTATTTTCTTTCAAGACCTTGGAACACATTTCCTCACAATCTATATGTAATAATTTCTTCAGTATGAATTTTCCAAGGTACTGCTCTTTGTCTTTTTGGTCTTCTTTTGTGCACCACTTCAGCCTTAAGCACGCTAATTTTAGAGTTTGGCCTTAAGGAAAGACTTGAGGCCAACGCCATTCTTGTGAATAAAGGTAAACTTGCATTAAGAACCACTGTCTCCTAAAGAAAATAAAGTCAATAGTAGTTTGATATCAATAAACTAACATGCTAAGAAGTTTTGAGTATAAAATCTTACACTTTACTAACAAACTAACAAGAAATAAAAGTTGGGTAGATATTTTTTCTGGAGGTCTAGTGGGAAACAGGCAATGTATTGTGAGCAAAAACTCCTCTTTCCTTCCCCAGTGATAAAGCTTTCACATTGTAATATGCAAAGAAAGAATGTGTACTCTGCTATAAAACTCTTCTCAACCATTTCTACTTCAAATATCTCAATCATGAAACTCGCAAGAAAAATTCACTTAACTGTGAAAAGCATAATAATAAAGCTCAAAAAAGAACTGAAGTACCTAACAGACAGCCCACACAGTCCTTTTCTTTTTCTTTTTTTTTTCTTGGGGGGAGGGGGGATCCTGGGGTCTGAACCCAGGATCTTCTCACTGAGCCACACCCCCCAAGGCCTTAAGTCTCAAAGCTACCCAAACTGGGCTGGAATTTGTGATCCTCCTGCCTCAGCCTCTGAGAGGCTGGGATTTCACATCCTTTTATTAAAGACAGTGTTACAGATTTAGAAGCAAGATGGAGATAAAGATTACAAGTGGATGGGTGAGAGTAAAAGGAAAGGGTTAAGGAGGGTAGAATGGTAGGCTCTCTCAATAACTTAACTGTCCTAACGGTTTCAAGCATTTAGGGGCTGAGAGAAACACTAAATATAGAGCAATATGGCAAGGGCTGCATAAAGTTATATTTTATCTTCAATTCTATCTTCCTAAGCTCACCCAGTCAAATTTTTACATTAGCTTCCTAGATTCCCCAACTCTGAATAGTTTTACATTTATGTTGTGGTTTGGTAGTTCAAGTAGATGTTTCTTGTTTCCTGAAGGAAAACGATATTGATTTGTTTAAAAGCAATGATGAAAAGCATTATCTTTAGAAGTACCTGCTTCTTAACAGCAGAACTAAGGGTTTATCTATTTCTTTTTCAGCCTACAACGCACCCAGCATACCACTAAGAGCTAAAAGGCGGCTAAGGAGGGCCTTAATATCCTCAGTGTCAGTCAAGTCTTTGTTTCCTTGAGCCTTATGTATTGGCTTTGCAAAGTAACTTAATTCCCACTAACAAACATTCCAGGTCTCTTAAAACGGCATTGTACTAACATAAGATTTTTGCCGGTGGTCTGCTCTACTGCCTAAATTCAGAAGCAAACCAAAAGTCAATCCTCATTTTTCCTTGGGGTGTTGGGGGGGGGTAGGCAGATCTCTTTCATAATTTTTTTTTCTAACTTTAAACTCTACTCCTCTGCCTAAATTAATAGCATGTGCTTTTATCCCATGCGACCAGCCCCTTAAATAAATAAATAAATAAATAAAATTTAAAAGCCCTCTTTCTCATACCGGCGGAGGCATCTAACTCCAAGACTCCTAAAATACAAAAAGCCTCTGGGATGTTGTTTACTTTTCTTGAAATGACCCAAGACTCCTCAACACTGCTCGCGATCGCGGCGCCTTTATCGCAGAGGCCGTGCACTCGGGGTCCCGCCGCAGGACCCACATCCCCAGCCCGGCGGAGGCGGCCGGCCGGGAAGGCACCGCGGAAGGAGCCACCGACTTTGCAAACTGACGGGCCGTAAGAGACAACTTTCAGGCACCGGGCAGAGAAGGTCGGCGCGATGCTGACCCGCGCCCGAATGGGGGGCGCCGTCCCCGCGCGTCCTAGTCGGTGGCCGGCGGCGCGGGCGCGGGGCGCATTGTCCTCGCACCCACGCCCCCGCAAGGGCTCGGCCGGGCGCGCTCGGGTCCCGGCGCGGGTCGGGCCGCGGGTCAGAGCCCGCCGCGTCCACACTCGCACAGGTTGCCCGGCGCGGGCGGGACGCACCGGGCGAACCATCTCCCGGGCATCTCCCCCACCTCCACTCCCAGTCCCAAACTCGGCGTCGCCGCCGACCCTGCAGCCCACCGCGAGCCCGGCCGGCTCCCGAGAGCCGCCCCGACCCCCAGCCCGGCCCGGCGCCCAAGGCTTTTGTTTTGGCCGCGACGGGAAAGAACGATCCCCGAGGAGGAGGTGCCGGGCTGCTGGAGGCTCCTCTTTGCGGGGTTAGGCGGAGCACAGGCAAGCGCCGCTGCGCCTCCTCAGGCTCCACACTCGCCGCTCCCCTTCCAGCCCACCTGGCTCCGCGGGGCTCACCTCAAAGCTGGGCGCCGGGCTTCCCGGGGCCGCAGCGCCGGCCACTCGCGGCCACTGGTCCCTGAGGTACCCGGAGCCGCGATCTCCGCCGGTGCGCGCCTCTGAGCCACCGCGAGCTTGCGCGAGCGCCGAGGCGCGCGGCCTCTGGAGCAAGTGCGCGCGCACGCACTGCGCAGGCGTGCCGCGCACGCGCGGTGGGGCCTCTCGCTTAGAGCGGCGCGGGGCTGGGGCCCCTCGTTGTTCTCACGCTCGCGCCCGGGGTTGACGCTCTGAGCGTCCTCACCCACGACGTGCGGATTCCTACCTCTGGAAGCTTGAGACTGAAATGTGCTCGGCACTCCTCGCAAAACAGTCTCTCTCCTCTGTTGTAACGGCGGGGCTCCCCGCGATTTCCCCAGCCTGCAAGACCTAGCACCTGCTCTGAGAGTCCTTTTGCCGACCTCGGGACCCAGGGTCACCGGTGCTGCGGTCACTGGTGCAGGCAACGCCGCGCACCTGGCCTGTTGCAGCGCTCCACGCTGAAGCAGGGCAGCAGACAGGCACAGAATACTCGCCTGGGAATACTTTACATCCTCTTTGCCAAGACCTTATTAAACAGGTGGAGCCTGTGGTTTTGGTGGCGAGTCCCACCTTTTGCTCCTAGGGAAGGGTTTCTCATCCCCTATTCGACATAATGTTTTGAGAACTGAAAGGAACATTAGAGAACCTCAGTTTCCAAACACCCATGAATGCTTTCCGTAGCCAGTCTGCATTCATTCAGAAGGCTGCTTTTCTTTTTCTACACGGCTTCGCCTTTCTTCTTTTCATCTCCTTTCACATTAGTATCGTTCTGTCCTGTTGGTAGCATACAAGCCTTAATTATATTGATCTTACTGCACAACAGGAATGTAATTAACATTACTGATGGACCACTTAAAACGGGTAAGATGGTAACCTCTACGAGTATTCTATAGTGTTTTATATTTTTTTTATTTTCATAGTGTTTTAAAAAAAAAAAAACCAGGTTCTCAAATATTAACTGTTAAAAGAATCATGAGCTTAAACATCAGAGGTGTGCTATGTGAACAAATATGATAAGATTTGAAATGATAATTTTCCTAATAAATACTTGCTTATCCTGTAACTTTTTAAAAGTAATATTGATCCTATTTGGATATGGTAGTGAACAATTTTAATGCCAGTCCACCAGAGACATAGGCAAGAGGATCTTGAGTTTGAGGTCTGCCTGGGCTACCTAGCAAGACCCTGTGGCAAAATTTTAGGTCACAAAAGTAATATTGATCCTTATACTAATTCTGGGCAATTTTTTTTTCGGTACCGGGTAATTCTGGGCAATTCTAAGTAATATTGATCCGTAGGCTAAATCAGTGTATCTGGGAAGCCAGAAAGCCAGTGGTGTCTTTTTGAGAGGAACATGTCAGATAGGGCATGTGTGCCTGCTTTGTTTCCTCCCCAATGTGTTTATTCATGTATATATATATGATAAAAGCATGAAAATGAGCATGAAGAATACACACTAATTTCATGACATGAGGCCCTAAGCCTACAGGGTAGGGAGTGAGATTTGAGAAGTATACAAAAGGGGCTTCTACTGTATCTCTCAAATACACACGAATGCAGACGCAAAAGTTGGCATTAAAAACAACTCCACAGAGATACAAAGGGTTTCTTATTAAAGTCTCTAAGCTTTTCTTCATGTTCCAGTTGTTGCATGTGAAAACAATACCGAGTGTCACAGACACTGAGCTACATCTGGGTGCCTAATGTGAACACACAGGGAACAGGGTGACTCACTCCCCTTTGGGGAATGATAGTCAAATGGATGGGCTACAGGACTGGAGGAGGTCCACAAGATACTGTCCAGACAAGAGACAAAAGGGACCTTTTATCAGAAACAAAAAAATACTCAAATCCCACAAGCCTAAAGTGAGATGCTGTCTATGCTTTCTTTTACCAATAGAGAGTCTTTAATGAGCGGGAACTTCACAGAGAGGCTCAGGGCTCTTGACACTGCTAAAACCGGTCTCCTTCTGGATAAACTCGTTTTGAAACCATAAATGTTAACTGGTAATGCATGGTAATTTAGTATTACATGTACATGGCTCCCTAGGCCGCCCCCTCACACCCCCAAAGGCTTTGTTTATTCATTTCCATGCAACCTGGTCATGTGGAAAAACCACTAGGCTGGAATTCAGACAGCCTAGGTTCTAATTTCAGTTTGGCCACCTCCTGATCCTTTGTGAACTTGGGGACAGCGACAACCTCTATGGACTCCACTTTCCTTTTTCTATTCAAATTGAAGAGATTTAAATGCTGCCTATTTAAAAAGTAGGAGACGCAACAGAAACACAAGGTTTATACATTTTCTTAAGTTGAAGGAGAGTACATTACTTTAGGACACAAAGATAGCAAGGAGAATTGGTATGCTTGTTGTTGCTATTGTTTGGGGATTTTGTTGCTATTGTTGTTTGCCATCTGCTGTGGGTGGAACTGCTGTACATTAACTGAAAAAGCGTGGTTCTGGGAATTTGAACTTCTTGTATTCTTATAGCTCTATCACAGCTGTTAGGACTGTAAAGCCTTCCATTAATTACACACTGAATTTTCTAGTTTTTTTATTAGACACACACACACACACACACACACAGGTCCCTGTGCTTTGCCAAGCTTGCTTCAAGTAGGTGCTTTAGACCACTGAGCCATCTCTCCAGCCCTAGTTTTTTTATTAGACACACACACACACACACACACACACACACACACACACACCCCATATTCTCATTTTGGTCTTCATGACAGACTGTGTGCTCAGTAAATTTGATAATTAAGTTAGACCAGATTTTTAAGAGCCCCACATTTAGAGTGACAGTACTCTTATTAAGGTATGTCATCTGCTGATTTCCTGATGTACCTGTCACCCAGTCTGAATTCCATAATCCAATCAATTGTAATTGTGCTGAAGCACTTCTGCGATTGTATTTGGAGCAATCTCCTCCTGTCCTTCCACTTCCTGCTGCAGGTGCTATTCATCCTTTGAGCCACTCTCAAATTCTCTTTCAGCGTTCTTTTACCTCTTGGTCACTCTTAAAACCTGGCGAAGTGGAGTTTGCATTTGGGAGCTCCGGAATGCTAGAACAATGTTACTGGACATGCTCAAAAGGTAAGAGCTGGTGTGGAACACAACTCTCACTTGTCTTGAATGAAGGGTTTCAAAGCTGGTTATTTCAGGATTGGATGTGTCTTCGTCGCTAGCAGTGGGGATGTTGTGGCCTCTCTCCCTCACTTGGTGCCCACACCTTTTCGTTTTACCTCTGTGCCCAGTTTTGGAGCCAGCCCTCTTCAACACCCTGGCCAATCATGAGCCCACACATTGTTGCCTAAGAGACCCCGGATGCCAGCGACAGGATTTCTAGATGGTGATTGGACTACTGAAAACTGGGAGGTGGGGGCTGGAAGGACGCACTGAAAAAGCTGACCTGGTGCAGCTATGGCAACCCCAGCACTTGAGGCTTGAAGAAGGAGCCCTGCTAAGAGAGGTGAGAGCATGGCGGTGCATGAAAAAGATGGAGATGTCTTGGAGAGCTCTCGGGCCTCCCTCAAGCCCTGTCAGCATTCGGGGATTACTGTTCCATTGCCAAGTGCTGCAAGCTTGTAAAATTAACACCTAACAATCGCATTCCTGTTGAGCACTAGCACTTGGCAATGCATTATAGTCCTTGCCTTGATTTTAACTGGTAGAATGTAAGATGCATTCATATGTAAATCTACTCATATCCTATTTCCTGAGATTCCCTTGTCTAAGGAAATTAATGTAGGGTGGCTGGATTAAGTGTTAGCAGAGAAACTCAATCCTATTCTGATTTATACATTCCAAGTAAAAATCTTAGGGCTGGGGATATAGCTCAGTAGAATAAGCGCTTGCCTGGCAAGTGCCAGGGCCTGAGTTCAATCCCTGGTTCTGAAAAAAAAAAAAAAAAAAAAACTTGCAGTGATCCCCCAAATAAAAATCTGGTAATCCTGAGTATCACCCCAGTTCCTAATATTTTAATTCTTCCACTGCTATCCCTTCCACTGCTATATTCATTCTTTTCATTGATTTAACAAATATTTATTAAGCTTCTGTTATGTACTATTGTGATTAGGATTCAGATCACCAGGTTCAGAAAAACCACATATGCAAGGAAGTATCAAGTTTTGGGGCCATGTTCTCTGTGTTGAGGTGTCCAGTGAATGAAGACAGAGCATGAAGAGGAAGGGATGATGCGATAGGAGGTTGAGGTATAGTCCTAGTGAACCCTGACTTCCGAGCCAAGGTGTCTGGATTTTGTAGGCATTAGCAAGCCTGAAAGTTTTTAAGTTGAGAGGTGACATCATCAACTGGCCTTTCAAAACATACTCTTCTCTGATGAATGAGCTTCCCCATGAGGGTAGAAGTGTATCTTCATTGGGTAATGTAAAGTTGTTGGGTAATGGTTAATGCGTGGTGGAGCAAGGTGGAGCACACTCAGCACACTGGGAGGCTGAGGCAGGAAGAGCACAGGCTTCAACCCAGCCTGGCTTCAATCCCGAGTACCACCAAAACAACCAACAAATAAATAAAAAGTGATGACATGAAGAATGGCTTAGAAAACCAGACAGGAAATATGTATGTGACCACAGAGGACCACCCCTGGCTGTTGAACAGGGAACTGGAACCATATACTAGGGTCAAGAGCCCTGGGCCCTCTTTCTACATTATATCCCAAGAAACATTCAAGGGCAGTCATTATAAGGCGTCACAAGAAAGCAATAGTGAGATGTGTCTGTGGAGGGGTATGACAGTTTGCTTTGGCTTTTGACAGAGTGGGGCAATTAATTTTTGTGCATGTTATGTAATGGTACCTGGTAGTCTATACTGTAAACGTGTGCACATGCAGATATGAATACTACCTGTCATCTGGGGTGAAGGGCAGAGAAAAAAATTGAAAAGATAACAAGCTAGGCATGGTGGTGCACACTTGTAGTCCCACAACCCTGGGAAGCTGAGGCAGGAGAATCATAAGTTCCAGTCTGGACAATTTAGTGACTTAGCAAAAAGACCCTCTCTCAAATAGAGGGGATATGGAATAGAGAGGTAGCTCAGTGTGAAGGCCCCAGGTTCAGTCCCACATCTTATACATGCTCATACACACTCACACACACAGAAATAATGACAAAAGACAAGGCACACACACACACACACACACACACACACACACACACACCCCAACTGCCAGACTCTATTGTCAACAGTACTGCTGTTGGCCTGGTTCACCTCTTGGAAACCACATCTTCCTTTAGCTGCTTTTGAGCAGCCTAATCCAAGCAATTTCTAGCTCTGAGGAACCAAGAGAAAAGAAAACATTCAATGCAGACCCTTCGGTGTCACTGACAAGGCCTACATATTTCATCCTCATTCATATGCAGTGCCTAGAATAGGTGAGATCGTTTCCAACCCAAACCAAGGGTAGAGAGTTTCTCCGCTTACAGTAGGGGTTTTAACCTGGAGTAAACAAAATGATATGTTCCTGAGCAATTTTCTAAGGAGGAAATTCATAGTTTTCATTATATTTCAAGGGCTTCTTAAAAAATATAAGTCTCTTAAAAAGAAAGGTAGAACATAACTAAATAACAATAACAAAAAGAAATACCTAATTTTAACTGGACAAGTTTAGACTCAGTGGTCATACTGCTTGAACATATCTGTCAGTGGATGCCAATTGAAGTCCTGTGCTGTAGTCATCTCTCATACTTTTTGTAAGCAAACTACAAATTCATTGACTTCGGTAAATAGCCATTAAGGGCTGAGAAGAGCCCCAGGGCTCTCCTGAGCTCCCTTTGTTCCATGCTGTGGGGGCAGCAAGTGACAGTAGAGAGGCACTGACTATTGCTACCTGTGAGGGTGCAAGAACATCAGCTCCATCTACAGCCATAGCTTGAGTCTGAGAGATAACATATGTCAAGTGAGGGCCTCTGAGATCTCAGGTGTAGTGTTTGGGAACAATCCCATCTGAGGTGAAAAACAGTGATTTTAAAAAACGTGTCCAGAGCCTGCTGCTCTTGGGTCATTCTTGGAGCAGCTGTCAGTCACCTCCACCTGTGTGGGCATACCCTGTTCAGAGGCAGGGAAGGTGGAAACAAGGTACACACTGAACTGTCACCTGCCTTCTGTGTTTCCCACCTTACACATGCTGTTCTGGTCCTCCAAAGGACAGGTGCCAGGCGCTCTGTGAAATGACAAGTTCTTAGAAAGGCTGCAGGAGGTTCCCGTGCACTGAGACCACCCAGCCATCAGACACTCTGCAGGACCTTTTTTCCCCTCTAATCTTAACAGCAGCAGTTGAAGGTAGATGGCTACATCCTTATTGTACAGATGAGCACACTGGTCTCAGAGAGATGAATGACAGGCAAAAAGTTACAAGCTCACTGTTAGAGCTAGGATTAAACCTGTATGTGATAAAATTTAAAAAAAATTGTGGGCTGAGGAGATGGCTCAGTAGAATAAGTACTTCCATGGCAAGTGCAAGGGCCTAAATGCAATCCCCCCCAATAAAAGTTTGTTGCAATACCAGAAAATCATTCTAGCTAGCAGAATCAAACAAGGCAACTTGTTGCAAGAAGTTCAGATGTATACAGAGCCCTCTCTGGTTCTCTTCTCGGTTTGGGAATTTTATATTTGTAATCTCATGGATAAATTATTGGAATCCCATCAAGTTAATTCCAATCTACCATACCCAGTACAACCCATGGTGAGAATGGAGACACTAAGGCATATTTGTAGTTATGGGGAGCCGAGGGGTCCTAAGTCCAGCCATGACACTGGCTATCTGGAACAAAGCTCTCCACCCAGGGCCAAACCCGAGTTTTATTCATTCATGAAGAGAGGAGTGACTTGAGGATGAGTGACTGTGAGAACGGCAGGAACAGGTGAGTGCCATGAGGTGGGCCAGGTAGGAGGCCTGCATTTACTTCTGTAATATGCAAAGGAAGGATCTGCTGACAGAGTAATCTGCATTACACATATTACACACATTACACAATTGAGATAGCATCTAATAGTTTGCTTCAGCTCTGATGTGTGATCTTTCAAGACCCAGGAGGTCACAGCCTCTGTCTTGAGGCTCAATCCCAGCTGGCAGTGGGGAGCATTGTCTCTTCCTCCCATCTCGGCCTGGCTCACCCTAGGGAGCAGCAGGTGGGAGTTCCAGGGAAATGTGCCCGTCATCTTCCAAGACTACCACCAGCACCTGGCTAGACCTCTATGCATTGCTTAAAGCCAATTGAAGAGATTAGGAAACGTCCTAGCCAGCTCTGTACATATCAGTGCGTGGAAACGGGGTTAGGCTCAGCCAAAATGGAGACAATTGCTCCTCTTTTAAGGAGAGTCGCCCAGGTGGTCCTCCACATAGGTGGCTCACGAAACAAAACAAAAAGACAGAAGGCTTTGGGGGATGAAGTAGCAGGGACAACATGGCAGTCTGCTCAGGGGGCCAATGCTACCTAGAATGACCACTTTATCCATAAAATAAGGATAAGCCAACGGGCCAGCAGCACTGCGGTCTCGGTCTTGTCACCACCTCTTTTTTACTTTTTTTAATGTGGGATCAAACCCAGGACCATCTCCATGCTAGGCTACATCCCTGATCCTTTTTGTTTTATTTTGAGAAAAGTCTTGCTCAGTTGGCATCCTTTTTGCAGTCTTCCTGCCTCAGCCTCCTGAGTAGCTGGGATTACACCACTCTCGGCTTTATTAGCACCTTGTGGCAGGGGAGGGACTACAGAAAATACCAATGTATAGATGAAGATGAGCCCCCGGATAGCCCTAAACCTTGATTAACCAACTATGCGAATGCAAATGCCACATCATTAGGAAAAATGATACCTCATGTAAATTAAAGTATTTTAATTCAAAGAAAGCAAACTGTATACAAGACAACTAAACCCAGAAAATCTCCCCCAAAAACTCAAGTCAAGTCCATGTCCAAAGCCTTGGCTTTGTGCCTCGTGCCATTCTACTTTGTGCATCAGGCTGGAACTCAAATTATGTAGATGTCAGAAAGTAAAGAGGGAGGAGGAGGGTTACTATCATGTAGGGAGGAAAGAAGTGTTTTATGTGGCATTATGACTCTAAATTTAAAATACTTCCCTTTCCAGATGGTAAGGTATGTCCTTAGCTAGAGGCAGTTCTGGATCCCTGCCCCCCATGATTTAATGAAAGCAGAGTTAGGCTGACCTTGTCTGAGTCCCAGCTCCACTGCCTACTCTGTGTATGACCTTGGGCAGGATGCATAACTTCAGTGAGTCTTATTTTTTCCACCTGCAAAATGAGCTAACATCCTCTAGTGCACCAGCTTATGAAACTGGATTGAGCATATGCAAAGTGCTCAACAAATAAGATGTCCCCAAACAAATGTTCTTCCACCCATTCCCTCCCAACAATAAAAAAAAAAAAAAAAAAAAATCACACAATGATTATTATTTAGATATCACTCTAAAGATATCTCGATTCTTTTCTTCTTCTAGGTGTAGTCCTTCTTATGGAAAAACACTCACTTATTTCATGATGGCATTTGCCCCTCCAAAAAGCATAGATGGCCCCAAAATGCAGACAAAGATGAGCACGTGGACACCACTAAACCATCAGCTTCTGAATGACCAGGTAAGTGGCCAGAGCTATTTTATCAGTTGGATCCATACCTTAAAAAGAAATAGTAAAAATTTGCTTCTCAACATAAGAACAAAAATTGCTACAATTGTGTTATGGATGAAGAAAAGACCAAAAAAAAAAAAAAAAGCATTTCTTTATTTATTTAAAACAGCTTGTATTGAGTGTCTGCAGTGTAGGCAAGAGCAGCAGTAGACACAGAGATGAAAATGCCCTTGATTTGTTCTTTCCAGCTTGGTCACTCCCCATGTCTCCCACCCTACTTCCTTCTCTGTTACTAGTTCTCCTGTGGGACTGCTGGGACCCCTGGGGCTGGGGCTGCAAAGAGTTTCCAAAAAACAGGTTTTCTGGCTAGAGTTGAGGTCATTGTGTAAAGGTTGTGCGAGAAATGCATTAAGTACAGAAAGTGAGTAAATTTCTAGCAAGTACTTACAGTACCAGCAGTACTCTGGTTCTCTTCAAAAGCTTATTTCCAGGGGCCGGCCTGATAGCTCAGAGAACTACAGAGCTGCTTAGGCAGAGAGCAGCAGCTGGGGTTCGATCCCTGGTGCGCAGTGCCGGCCCCGCTCCATCGCCGGGGCTCGCTGAGCTGACAACTGAGACTGGGCGTGCTGGCACCCGCCTATAATCCCAGCACTTGGGAGGCTAAACACAGGAGAATCACTACGAATCCGATCTATGTAGTGAGACCCTGAACACCCAACCTGTCGACCCTGCCCTAAAATACAGGAAAAAAAAAAGTTTCTTTTCAGGCTGCCTTCTGGGACAGCATTAGCAGAACCAAACAAAGGAGTGCAGTGGGTTGCTGGAGTGTGAGGTGGGCAAAACTCTGGGGCTTGCTATTTCTACTCCAAGAAGGGCCAGAATTTCCATAGGGCTTTGTGAGCTCCTGCGAGCAGGTCTCGTGTGTCAGGACCACACCTACTTGGCGACAACATAGTGCCTAAGACTGACCTTGTCACCTTGCTCGCCCACACCAGTTGCACCTAGTTACTCAGGCAGGCCATCTTCCTTCTTCTGGATGGGTCTTGGATTTCATTTCTCCCCAGGTTTGTATGCTGATATTTTAGCCTTTAGGTGTGGAATTGAGCACAGTACAGTTTCACAGTAAAGGCTGTAGATTCTGGGGTCGGAGACACATGACTTTACTCTCAGCACAGCAACCAGGCTGAGCATGATGCATGATGTCTCCTGGCTGGTCAAGCCCGGCGTGACTCCCAGCCCAGACAGAGGCTGTGCACACAGTGGGTTGCATGGCAGCTGGTGAGTGAGCCCAGGACCCCACTGCCTGTCAGGTAAGCAGTGAGCGTGGCTGCAACAGCCCCAGTGCACCCAGGCACAGAGTGCCGGCTCATGATCCTGAGGACATTCCGGGACTGGAGAGGCCATGCAGGAATATCTGCCTGCGGCTCTCTCCTGCACATCCATAGGCTTCTCACTCTGGGTCTTCCTCCAGGCTTCTCATTTAGGGTCTCACTTATCCTCACTCTGCCAGCTCCACAGTTTCACCTCAGGCCCTCAGCAGCCCTTGCCACACACCCTGCAGTGACCCTACCTGGTTTCACTGCCTTTGGCTCTGGCTCCCTGAGATCCAGGGTGATCTTTCTAAAATACCAGTCCCATTTTTCCCACTGCATAGGGAAATTCCAACGAGTCCCTTTCGTACTTAGACCGCAGTCAGCTTCCTAGTGCCACCTTCCTGTGCCACTACCCCTCAGGCCCCAAGCCAGGCCACTCAGGGTCCCCTGAACCCTGCTCTACCACACCTGCAAGAGTCAACTCCAGTCTCTCCTCTGTGCTCTCCTTTAGAGTGAGCCTATCATGATGGCACACGCCTACAATCTCAACACTTGGGAGACTGAGGCAGGAGGATCATGAGTTGAAGGCCAACCTAGGCTGCATAGTCAGCCTGAATTACAGAGTGAGATCCAGTCTCAGAAGGCTTTAAGCTAAAAGATCCTCACTCCTTTATGTGCAGGGCCTGATTTGGCTCTTGGAGCACAAGAGGTAGAGCCAGAGTCCACTCCTATTCTCATTTTACTGGCTATTGCCTGGTCTGCCCCACCTGCTTCCTTAACCCACAGATGAGCCTTCATTTCTCTAGCCCTAATAAATGTGCTGATCCCCCTGGCAAAGCTGAGCCATCAAACCTGGCTTCTCTTCCAACTCCTCTGATCTGAACTTGAGCAATTTCCGGAAGACCAGGGAGCTGAGGCAGGCATTGGAATGGTGCGAAATAAAATGGAGAAGACCTAAAATAGGAAGAAGATAAGGGAATGAGGAAAGAGGAGACAAACCAGCCCTCTTCTATAGCTGTGAACACCAGTCTACGAAACCTCATTCCTTCAGCACAATGATCATCTCCTGACACCTGTTCTCAACAGTTTACATAGCAGATGCTCTGTTTGCCCCAGCCCCCTTCGTTTTGAAATCTGTTTTCCCATAGAATTGTGAAGGTTTCACACACGTGTGAAAAAGTGACTTGAATTGAAATTCACCTTTGTTGGATGCCTTGATTTTCAGAAAATTTCCTTGAAAAAGTAAGAGGCTTGGTCCATTTAACTGGATACCCAAGATACCCAAGTGCCTGCTGTAAGTTGGATGACTAGAAATGCAAACTCCTTTCTTTCTTTCTTTTTTGTTCTGCTTCATTTTGCTTGCGTGGTGCTGGGCATGCTGTAGTGCTGAGCTGCACCTGTAACCCCATGAAGCAGGCTCTGAGATGAGCATGTGCGACCACCCCCACAGCAGGAGAGGGTAGGGAACAAAAGAAACCGATGTGCTGTGATGCAGTCTCTAGGAGGTCTCCCTTGACCTTGGGACACCTCAAAGCTGGCTTGACCTTACAGTCCAGCAAGCACACTGCACTTTCTGTGGGTGCCAGCTGCACCCCCCACCCCCGAGCTGATCTCGACCCAGGCCTCTCTCTCTAGCTTGTCACTGCCACCCAAAAGCTTCCCAACAGGTGCAGGAATAAATCCTTCAATTCTGGGGCACAATTTGTACCATATGGAAAACGTTATCTTCTCTTACTTTTGTTCTTTGAGGGATTTTGTCACACTTAATGATGGCACCTAGAGAAAATTTTATTTTATTGTTCAGGACTCTTGCGTATTCCAGAAAACCTAGTTAGGATTAGTTTGGAGTAAAATAATTTTTTAAAAAACTTTCTATGTGTATATACACACGTGTGTGTCAATGTACACAGACACACACCTAGACTTCGCATGTAATCACACCAAAGTATTAATATTACCACTCCCAGACTTAGGTGGCCGTCGGTGGCTGAGGGGGAAGGCTTTAGAAGAGCTTTTCTTTCTTCTTTCTTCTTTCTTCCTTCATTCCTTCCTTCCGTCCTTCCTTTCTATATTTCTTTTTTTCTAAAGTGTGCTCATATTTCAAATTTTAAGAGTTTAAAAGTAAATACAAATAAAAGCAAGCAAAGAGCAATAGCTCTGGGAACTGCAGATTCAGATCAGCTGTCCCAAACACTTCTTGCATTCATCGAGTAAGTCACTGACCCTCTCTAGGTTCGAGCCTCCTTTTAAAATAGGCGGCTTAGGGCTGGGGAGATAGCTCAGCAGTCTAAGCACCTGCCTGGCAAGCACAAGGACCAGAGTTTGATCCCCAGTACCACATGCTGCGCTGGCCCCTGAATCCAGGATGTGGTGTGCTGTGCTATGCCACGCTGGCCACTGAAACCAGGACCACAAAAGAAAATAGTAATAAATAAAGTTTTAAAAAATAAAATAAAATAAGCAGCTTAGATCAGGTGACCTTGGACATCCTTTCCACATGTAACATTGCAATTGTATGAACTGGGTTTAAAAATACATGCCCAAGGACACATTGGCTAGAAAGCATCCACAGAGATGATTTCAGGGATTTTTCTTCACCTGAAAAACAGAGCATTCTCTCTACTAGTCAGTGTAATTGTGAGGTCTTGCTTTGGGTTTGAATTTGGTCTTTATTGTGCAGTAGCATGTGAAATATATAACTGTCTTAGACTAAAATAACTGTCACAGAATTTTAACTTCACAGCAGGCTTTAAGCAGAGAGATTGGATTCAAATTTAGAATCTTTAAGACAAAAAAAATAATCAGGATAGGGATATGCAGTAGATGACAAAGTAATTCAGGCACTGAAAATTTTGAGGGGAGGAAGGTTTTTAAACCATCCGTCTCTTTGCCATCCGGTGTTGTAATTAAAAGCAGTCCTTCCCACACACATGCAAGGTTACTACAGACAGTGATGGATAGTTTCCTTGACTCTAGTGATCATCACACTGTCTATGTGGATACCAAAATATCACATTGTATACTTTAAATATATACAATTTTTTAAAAGCAAGTGAGCCACATTTCCTTCAGAGTGTAGTCCACATCTAGTACAGTATGTGTTAAAAGGGTGTTCTGAGAAAAAGCACCCTGTAGGCAATCAGTCATAATTTAGGAGCCCCTTCTGCACTATAATGATGTCACATGGAGAAATATGTAATTTCAGTGTCAACAGACAAAAATAACAACCGTGGGATTTTGACTTAACAGCAGGCTGTGGATAAACTGTGATATAAACAAACTGCAGCGTTCTGCAAGAAGGGAAGATCCATTTTAATATTTCTATTTTGCATAGACATTTTGTTTTTCCAGCTCTTTAAAAGAAAGAATCTGATTGCAAATCGTTCAAATGGAGATTCGCTGCAAGCCAGGAAATGTAAGGCTACCAGTCAAATTGAGGACCTGACTGGGAAATGATTTGCCCACATTTTATTTTCTTTCATAGGCAGAGTCAGAACCCAATCTGAGGTCTCCTGACTTCAAGTCTTGTCTGTCCTTTACTGCCAGCAGTTTCTATTCGGGAGTAGGTGCCTTCTGATGAACAACTGAATTTGCCTGATCCCTGCTTAGATGCTGTCTTTGCTTTAGCCTGCGTGGCACTGCCCCCTTCCCCCTCCTGCATCCTGTTTGAGAACTGTCTTTTCCCTCCAAGTCAGTGTCCTATTTCCAATAAACCACACCACCACCGATGGGTGTTATGAGAGTGCAATCCCAGCCTCCTTCTGAAAGCCCAGTTGGGGTCTCAGGACATAATTTTCTTCCCAATCCAGGCCAAAGCATGAGCAATGGCTCATCAGGAATATAAGGCTGGGAATGGGTGCATAGTTCAGTGGTAAAGGCCTACCTAGCACTTGTAAGACCTGGGTTCTATCCCCAGAACCGCAAACCAATGAACACTGGAAGGCTGGAAGTCAGGGTGGCGAAGACCAAGATTCGATAAGGAACCAAGGGCAGAACTGAGCTGAACAGATAGTTTGGAAACCTGTGATTTTTTTTTTTTTTTTTTTAATCTATAAATAGGATCTCTTTGGGCTTCTGTTTGACCCCTTTAAAATAAGGGAACTGAACAAAAAGATCTTAGGATTTCTTTTAGCTCTGAGGTCTGGGCCTTCTGGAGCTTTGTTGTGGTTGTTATTCAGTCAGCAGTGTCTGTGGAGGCCTGCTGAGAAGCTGTCTTTGCCGGTTCTGGGGCGCAGGTAGGAGGAAGGGGTTGTCATCTCCTTGGGGAGATCAAATTGACAGAGCCCACTCGAGAGCAAATGCGAGACCTGGGCAGCCCGGGCGAGGAGCGTGGCGCTGAGGAGTAGGGGCGAGGAGGGGCGCAGCGCTTGTGCACACTGACGCCAGCCGCGGCCCGGGGGGCTGGTAGGTGCCTCACAGAGAAAAAGAGCTCAGGCCACACAACATGTGTTCAAAACATGAGGTGAGTGTTTAATTTTTTAAAGTTTAATAAAAGCCACATCGTCATGAATCCCCCTCAAGGGCCTCCCCCTCGCTTCGAACACACTTACCTCATCGTTCTTGCCACTTTCTGAAGCAGCTCTGGAGGCATCTGTTGCGAGTGCCTTCAGTTGCCCTGTCCTGGCTGCCCCACGTTCTCAACTGACTCAAATTGTTTCCCTTTCCTGGTCATTTTGACTTTGACGGAAGTCACACGGTGCCAGATCCCGTGTATAAAGTGAATAAGGACAAATGGTCATTTTTTCTTTCTTTCTTTCTCTCTCTCTCTTTCTTTCCTTTCTTTCTTTTTCTTTGACATAGGATCTTGCTATGCAGTTTGGGTTTGTAGAGATCCTCCTGTCTCAGCCTCCACAATGCTGGGATTACAGGCATGCGCCACCATACCCGGTTTCAGTGGTTGGCACGGCACACCCAGGGTTCTGGGGCTGGCACAGCATGTGGTACCAGGGATCGAACTTGAGTCCTTGCAATTGCCAGGCAGGCACTTAGACCACTGAGCTATCTCCCCAGCCCATGGTCACGTTTTTATTTGACCAAAAATTGCTGTAAATGGTTGCTTATTGAGGGATGAGTAAAAAAATAAAGTGAATATTTAAATAAAATATTGCCTAGAGTAGAAGACATATTGGCATTAATCCTCTCAAAATAGCAAAAATAATCCCCTTCAGACACACATCCCACTGTTCACAGCAATGTGTCTTTTGCTGTAATGAGTTTAAATTTTTTGAGAAAAGTTTACTGTAGGGTTTTTTGTTTTGTTTTGTTTTTGTATTTTAGTAAGGGTGTACAAGGGTCTACAGGGTCTCACTACATGGATTGGACTCATAGTGATCCACTTGTTTTCAGCCTCCCAAGAGCTGGGATTCCAGGCATGCGCCACCACACCCAGTCTCAATTGCCATCTCAGGCGCTCCAGGGATCAAACCCTGGCCTCTGTGTCTGCCTAAGCAGGTGCTTTAACCCACTGAGCTATTTGGCCGGCCCAGTTTACTGTAGTTTTTAAGCTCCTGTTATATTCTAACCCAGGGGTTTTTTGTTTTGTTTTGTTTTTGTTTTCCTGTGTTCCGTAGCTACTCTTCTCTTGTCACGTGGATGTCTTATCTATTGCCATGATCTGAGGGATCTGGTACCAGGTAGCACAGGCGAGGAGGGTCCTCTTCTCTAATGCTGTAAGGGATGAGCTTTCCTGGGCAGGAACAAACCCGCCTCTCGCTGGTACAGGGGCAGTGTGTACAGCAGTTTTTTAGTTCCCGTTTTGTATGTTCTTGGCATTCAGACTTTGAGCCTGAAAAGGAAAGAGGGAAAAAAAAAAGTGTGCTCTGCTGGAAGCAGAAAGCCAGCTCCTCATCCTCCTCCACAAAAAGGGAAGAAATAGGCCCGAGCCGCCTCTCCACGCCGCAGTGTTCCTGCAGAACTGGGGAGTTTAGGAGCGCCAAGAGGAGGGGAGAAGCGTCAGTCTTCCCCCACTTGAAAGCTGGCAGAGGGGCGTGTGTTGGAGCGAGAGAGACATCACATATGTTCATTACTCTCTTCAGAACTCTTCCTCTGCCAAATAGACCCACGTTCATTTTTCCCTTTCTCACTTGTTTGTGCGCTCATGCTCAGAAAAACACCTATTCGCCAACACCAACCCATCTCCGCTGTGCTTCTGCACTCATGAGGATGTTTGTCTCCATGACCTCACCCAGTTGGACGAACAGGTACTTCTAACATGGTACAATGTCGAGCACTCTGCTCTGGAAATTTCACGATCAGTGGTGCACAGCTCCTGTCCTGAGTAGTCTGTTGGAATAAACCCACACAGCTCACACCTCAATCTCCAGCCCAGAGGCTCACACAGATTACTAATCCTCCAAACGTAGAAGCACTTGGACACCCATTTAGATGTGTGTACACTGAGATACAGCAGCAGAACCATTCGCTCCTAAATTGTATGAATTCTCACATCATTATTATAGACATTTTAGAGGGGGACTCCATTTTCCTGGGTTTTTCTTTTTCTAGTTAGTTTTTCATCTCTTTTCAAACTTTAAAATTCATTTTTTATATTCCTTGTACATCCCATTACTTCCTATCTCATGGTCTTATGGCTTATATTATCTACATGGAGAAACTGAAGAGGGAGGGAGAGAAAAAGAGACGCAGGCAGAGTCAGATAGAAATAGACAGAAATTAGAGAACTTGTACTGAGAAATAACTTTTCTCTCAGGAATGAGACCTGTGTCTTCGTATTTAATTGATACGGTAAATTTACTGATTTTTAATGATGTTATGCTTGACAATAGATATTATGAACCATAATATATGAAATCACTCATTTTCTTACTGCAGGTATTTGAAGAAAGAAGAGCTCTGCTTGGAAAATGGGTAAGTGTTTAAAATATTTGAGACCTATGTCTGCATTATATTATCCATTTTAGGCTGTTACAATAAGAACCATGGACCAAGTGGTTGGGAAACAATTAGCATTTATCTCTCACAGTTCTGAGGGCTGAGAAGTCCTGGATGAAGTTTTCTGGAGGGTTCAGTGTCCCGTTGATGGGCAGCCTTTTTTTTTTTTAATTTTATTTATTTATTTGTGTGTGTGTGTGTGTGTGTGTGTGTGGCCAGCTCAGCCCACCACGGGGCTGGCTGGCTGGCATGTGGTGCTGGGGGATTGAACCGCGGTCCCTGTGCTTTGCTAAGCTTGTTCTAAGTAGGTGCTTTAGACCACTGAGCCATCTCACCAGCCCCCTATGGGCAGCCTTTTAAGGCAGAAAATGCAAGAGAGTACTCTGGGCTCGCTTCTTTCTCCCCCCCTTCAGTTTGTGGTTTTACTGAAGCACAAATAAACACGCACACGGGCCATCTACTCATTTTCTTCACTGAGCAGCCTGATGTTGGGGTTGGGGATCTGGATGGCTAACTGGGCTGCCCTTTCCACAGTGGCCTTGCAGTTCGTAGAGGAGACTTTGTGAGCAACTCTGTGCAGTGAGACGCGTGGCACCTCAGCAGCACCGCAGCTCCCTAACAGTGTGCACCAGGAGCTTCCGGAGGCCGCTGGGCGGCATGTGCTTTGTCTTTCTGATACTTCCATAACCTATTCTGGGCATTGAGATCTGGCCCTTCTACCTTCTCCACAGCCTGCTGGCGATGCCTCTGGGTTTCTGCCAGTTGTGCTTAACTTGGACATAGAGGTCTGCCTGGTGCCAGATGAACTTCTTAGTCCTCTTTTGGACAATCTTGGGCTTCACAAGGGGTCTGAGGGCTGCCGTGGTGCCAATTGGAAATGGCTACCATCACCATAGGTAGCACCGAGGAAGGGAGGGGCTGCTGGCCGGGGCTCACTTTTATAAGGGTGCCGATCTCATTCTTAAGAGCTCTACTCTCATGAGCCAGTCACCTCCCCAAAGCCCCTACCTCCTAACACCACCACCCTGGAGGTGAGGACTTCCGTGTGTGAATCTGAGTTAGGTAGGAAATACACACACTCAGTCTGTAGCTCTATCACAGAGATGCCCTGAGGATTCAGGCTGGACTCAAGGCTCTGCAGGACTGACACTTTCCGTATGCACAGTTAGGTTTCAGTCTGGAAAACAGAAATCATACATTATTTTAACAGACAGAATTTAATCAGGACTGATTAAGTAGATATTGGAAAACAGAAAAAGAAGAAGGGAATGTGGGGTTCCGTGAAGAGATAGCACTGAGGGGGCTACCAGCTTTACTGGTACCTCAGGAGCTCAGAGTGAGGACTTCAGGACCCTGAAAGGACCTGAACTTGTAAAGAATGAAGTAGTTGACATCACAGTCAGCTCATTCTAGTATATCCGAGAAAGTACAACAGCTTTGATTTTTTGGGAAAAAGCTAGACCCTGGAATCATCAGGGTGAGTACATCTATCTCTTCTTCATCAGTTTCCCTCCAAGACCAGCTTCCCCACTGGCATTTAGCAGGAAGCCAGATGTGTTTGTGGGGCTCCAACTCCTAAGTGCTGGAGTACAGATGAGGGGTTTGGATCTCAGAGATTAGTGTAGCAACCAACCCTCTGGCTATCCCTGTTCACCTGTCCATACACACTTAAACATCCATAGCACAACTGTAACAGCTTCATGGGTTTTGCCAAACATGATACAAATATCCTTCATCAGAAATGAGGACTTGTGCCGGGGAGATAGCGCAGTAGAAGTGAGGACTTGAGCGGAAGCTTAGTTCTCTTTCCCATCTTGCAAGATGGTGGGTAAAAAACTGAGAAACCAGACACTAAAGAGAAGAAACGTTAAGCCAACAAGGCTTCTTCCAGTGGTACTGGTAAAAAGGGTAAGGTGAAGGCAAAAAAGTCCAAGAAGGGGCAGTCCCACTGCAGCTGAAATCCTGTCCTGGTTAGAGGAATTGGTAGATACTCCAGATCTGCTATGTATTCCAGAAAGGCTTTGTACAAGAGAAAGTACACAGCTGCTAAATCAGAGGTTGAGAAGAAAAAGAAGGAGAAAGTTCTTGCTACGATCATAAAACCAGTCAGTGGGGACAAGAATAGAGGTACCCGGGTGGTTAAGCTTCGAAAAATGCCTAGATACTACCCTAGTGAAGATGTGCCCCGAAAGCTCTTGAGCCACGGCGAGAAACCCTTCAGTCAGCATGAGAGGACACTTAGAGCCAGCATCACTCCTGGCACCATCTTGATCATCCTCACCAGGCTTCACAGAGGCAAGAGAGTGGTCTTCCTGAAGCAGTTGGCTGGTGGCTTGCTACCTGTGACTGGACCTCTTAGCCTTAAACATGTTCCTCTA